TTAGAGAAAAGAAACAGATCACCTATAAAGGAAAGCCCATCAGAATCATGGAAGATTTCTCAACACAAGCCATCAAATTAAGAAGATCTTGTATAAACTATTTTAGCTCCTAAAACAAAACAATCTCCAACCAAGATTGATGTATCCTGCAAAACTGTCCTTCAAATGCAATGGAGAAATAAAATATTTCCATGATAAAGAAGAACTGAAGAATTTACAGGTGCCAAACTAGCCCTACAAAGGGTACTAAAATATATTCTAGAAAGAGATAGGAATGATCACAATTTCAAGAACAACAATAGAAAGGAACTACCACATAGAGCAAGCAGTTAAACAGAGAGTAAAAGTAGGAAACCAACAACAGGTGAATAACATGACAAAGATAAGCAAATACATTTCAGTTATAACTATTAATGTAAATGACCTCAATTTGCCAATCAAAAGAGTGGCAGAGTGGATCAAGAAACAAAATCCAACAATATGCTGTACACAAGAAACACATTTAACTCAAAAGAAAATTCACAGACTGAAAGTCATAGGATGGAAAACAGTCCTCCATGTGACAGGAACCCAGGAAAAAGCAGGAGTAGCTATTATGTTTGCAGACAATGCAAACTTCAAACCAAGAATTATCAAAAGAGATAAAGAGGGTCACTAAATACTTGTCAGGGGAAAACTTCAAGAGGAAGAGATAACAATCATAAATACGTATGCACCAAACATGGGAGCACCCAACTATATGACAAATCTTAATACACATGAAAAACCAAATAATTAACAACACTATTGTAATGGGAGACCTTAACAACGCATTGACTCAAAGAGATAGGTGAACTGGACAAAAACTCAGCAAGGAAATATCAGAATTGAACAAAACTTGTGAACAAATGGACTCAGTAGATGTTTACCGAGTGTTCCACCCCATAACATCAGAATACACATTCTTCTCAGCTGCACATGGGACTTTCTCTAAAGTAGACCACATACTAGACCATAGAACAAGCTGAACTAAATGCAAAGAAATTCAAATTATCCCATGCATACTATCTGACCATAACACAATAAAATTGGAAATTAATGACAAAAGGTACCACAAGAACTCCATAAACACATGGAAATTAAATAATAGACTCCTGAACAACCAATGGGTCACAGAAGAAATTAAAGAAGAAATAAAAATCTACAAGCAAATGAACTTGTTAACACAACTTCCTGGAATCTGTGGAATGCACTGAAAGTAGTCCTCAGAGCAAAGTTCGTAGTGGTGAACTCACATATCAGGAAAACAGAACAATAACAAATAAATAGCTTAATGCTGCACCTCAAAGTTTTAGAAAAGGAAGAAGAACTCAAGCCCAAAGCCCAAAGAAGGGAGGAGATTATAAAGATCAGGGAAGAAATAAATTCAATTGAGACGAAGAAAATACTCCAAGAATTAATGAATCAAAGAGTTGGTTCTTTGAAAGAATAAATAAAATTGATAAATCCCTAGACAACCTTATCAAAAAAGGAAAGACTCAAATTCATGCAATAAAGAATGGAAAACATGAAATCACTCCAGATCTTACAGAAATTCAGAAGATCATCAATACCTAGTTTGAAAATCTTTACTCCCATAGGATGAAAAACACAGAGGAAATGGACAGATTTCTAGATAAGTATAAATTACCAAAGTTGATTCAAGAATATTTATAAGTCTTGAATAACTCACTATCAATTATGGAAATTGAAAATATGATTAAAAACCTACCAACAAAGAAAAGCCCAGGTACTGATGGATTCACAGCTGAATTCAACAAGACATTCAGAGAAGAAGATTTAATGCCAACACTTCTCAAACTATTTAATGAAATTGAAAAGGAAGCCATTCTCCCTAACTCATTTCTGCAGGCAAGTATTATATTGACTCCAAACTCAGAGAAAGACCCAACCAAAAAAAGAGAACTATAGACAAATCTCCCTAATGAACATAGATGCAAAGATACTTAATAAAATACTAGCAAATAGAATGCAGCTAATCTTCAAGAAGATGATACATCATGACCAGGTAGGATTCATCCCAGGGATGCAGGGATGGTTCAATATATGCAAATCAATCAATGTAATACACCATATCAACAGAGCCAAAGACAAAAATCACATGATCATCTCAATAGATGCAGAAAAAGCTTTTGACAAAGTCCAACATGCATTCATGATAAAAACCCTATAGAAAATAGGAATAGATGGTCTTTACCTCAACCTGATCAAAGCCAACTACAATAAACCAACAGCCAACAGCATACTAAATGAACTAAAACTAAAAGCTTTCACTTTAAAATCAGGAACAAGACAAAGATGTTCACTGTCACCATTCTTATTCATCATAGTTCTGGAAACATTAGCCAGAGCAATTATACAAGAGAGAGATATAAAAGGAATAAGAATAGGAAAGGAAGAAGTGAAGTTATCATTCTTTGCAGATGATACTTTACATGGAAGACCCCAAAAACTGCACAAGAAGCCTCCTTGAATTCATCAACCAATTCAGCAGTGTAGCTGGATACAAAGTCAACACCCAAAAATCAGTAGCATTCCTATACACAAATAATAAACAGACTGAGAGAGAAATTAAGGAAACCATACCTTTCGCAACAGCATCCAAGAAACTGAAATATTTAGGAATCAATCTAACAAAAGAAGTAAAAGATCTATTCAATGAAAACTATTATACTTTGAAAAAAGTGATCAAAGAGGATCTCAATAAATGGAAGAATATCCCTTGCTCATGGAGAGGAAGAACCAACATTGTGAAAAAGGCCATACTATCAAAATTGTTGTACAGATTCAATGCAATTCCCATTAAACTACCATCAGCATACCTCACAGATCTAGAGAAAACATTCCTTAAATTCATCTGGAACCAGCAGAGACCCAGAATAGCAAAAGCAATCCTGGGCAACAAGGACAAGTCAGGTGGAATTACAATCCCTGAGCCGAAATTATACTACAAAGGCACTGTTATAAAATCAGCATGGTACTGGCTAAAAAAGAGACTGGAAGATCAGTGGAACAGACTGGAGGACACAGACACAACCACAAACACAAACACACTCAGCCCTAATCTTTGATAAAGGGGCCAAACAAACTCCCTGGAAGAATGATAGCCTCTTTAATAAATGGTGCTGGAAAAATTGGCTTGCCACCCACCAAGACTGAAAACAGACCCAAGTCTATCACCATGAACCAAACTCAAGTCAAAATGGATCACAAATCTCAATATTAAAACAGAAACACTAAGTCTATTGGAAGAGAAAGTAGGAAAAACCTTGAAGACATAGGGGTAGGCAGAGAGGTCATGGACAAAAACCAAACCAGGAAATACTTCAAAGAATCAACAACTGGGATTTCATCCTACTGAAGAGTTTCTGCACATCTAAAGAAATCACCAGCAGAGTAAAAAGAAAACCCACAAATTAGGAAAAAAATTTAGCTGACTGTCCCTTGGACAAAGGACTCCTATCTAGAACATATAAAGAACTGAAAAACATCAGCCCCTCAAAATTCAAAGACCCAATAAAAAAAATGGGTATTTAAGATGAACACACACTTCTCAAGTGAAGAAATACTGATGGAAAATAAACATATGAAAAAATGTTCAAAGTCATTGGTCATTCATGAAATTCAAATAAAAACAACAGTGAGAGTCCATCTCACCCCAGTGAGGATGGCTATCATTAAGAAATAAACCAATAACAAATGCTATAGAGGCGGCGGGAAAAAGGAACCTTTCTCCACTGCTGGTAGGAGCGTAGACTGGTGAAACTACTGTGAAATCAGTCTGGAGATTCCTCAGTAAAGTAGGACTAGAGTTCCCATTCAGTCCAGGTATTCCCCTTCTGGGTATTTTTCCAGAAGATCTGAAAACATCATATCACAGCAATATATGTGCACCCATGTTTATAGCAGCACAATTTGTAATAGCTAAATTGTGGAAGCAACCCAAATGCCTATCCACTGAGTAATGGATAAAAAAAGTTGTGATATTTTTACATAATGGAATAATACTCAGCTATAAAGAAAGATAACCTCTAGACTTTACAGGAAAATGGACACAACTGGAGACCATACTCATAAGTGAAATAAGTCAGACCTGCATATGCAAACATCATATTGTCTCACTAGTGTAAGAACCTGAAAGGGTGAGTAAAATCTAGGAGGTATGATAGATGTTGTCAAAGGAAAGAAAACTGCTCAAAAGGAAAGAACAACTAGGACGAAGGAAAAGGGAAAAGAAAGAAGGGGAAAATATGTATATATGTATACACAGGATAGCTAACATAGTTGTACCACTGACTTTTATTGCTCTATTGAAAGAAACAGTTAATGTGTAAGTGTATGATCAACCTTACAAGTCTATATTTGAAGATATCAATATGTAAGACAACAACCATTGTTAATTTCCTATCACCCTGTTTGAAATTCTGTATTGTTTGTATTGTTTTTATGTTATATTCTAAATGTATGTGTGTTTGTTAAGATTTTTTCATTCTTTTATCTTTAAAATAAAAAACAAATACATGTAGGCAAAAGCATAGGGTTTTATTATGTGAGGAATCAAGTTGACATAAGGAAGTAGGTCCACCTCTGACTGCTGCATGCTGGGCTTGATGCATCTCTGATTTAGAACAAGTGGAGTTCAAGGAACAAGTTATTGAGTCACAGGGTTGAAACAAGAGTGATGGTGGGATAAATAATATAGTCTTCCACTTCCTCACCCTTCTGCTCAGGCTGTGGAGGTGGTTGTTGGAGTTTGTGGTACTTTTTGTTTTCCTCTTCATTGACACAACACAATTTTCCATGTAGACATCCCATTTCAGATATTTCCCCTATTTTGCATTTCTTCTTGCAGTAACCTGCCACATTATTAAAGCATCTTGGGGGTTTTGCCCCAGCTGTGTTTGGAAAAACCATAGGAACAAGGTTAATTTCCAAAGAAGAACAAAATAAGAATGTGGTCCCCACAAGTTACAGTCTCCTATAGTACCAAAGTGAACCTTAGGCTGACAGGAGAAAACTCAGGGCCCGTCCTTGAAAATCATCCCCAGTGAAAGACTCTCAAGACCCCTGGTTCTGGGCCAATGCCTAGCTGGCACTGGGAACATTAGAACACATGTCACAAAAGCAAGGGCTCAGTTCCTGGTTATGGGGCCATGTAACATCACTAGGGCCCGGAAATCTCTGCTCTATGCTCCAGAGCCAGCACTGCCTCAGTTCTCCATTACCAGAGAACACTGCCTTGTCACCATCAGCACAATTCAGTTAGATCAATTTTTTCCAAAAACTGCAGGCAGACTTTTAAAATAACCACATAATTTGGCTTCACACTCACTGATATGGACATCAGCTCTTTTCTTGCCAAGATGTCTTTGGTCTGAGCAATAAGTGCTATTGAAAACTCCTCCTGTCCAGCCTGCAGGACTTCTCCAGAACTTGGCTCCTCCTCTCAATTCCCCACCACACGCTTCTTAATCTCTGATAAATGTTTCCCTGAGCATTAGACTCAGTTCCTCATGAAACCTGTCCCCCTTGAGATCCAAATTGTCATCTATTTGCAGTAATACATTCAGGTCCTAAAATTCCTTTTCCCAATTCTAATTCTCACCTCTACAAAAAGTACAGATCAAAAATGGAGACCGAGATGCATTCTCCCTATTCTAGATTTCACAATATGTGAAATATCCTTGAAGGTTAGAGAGGTGTATTTTGAGGGCCCCAGAAAGATCTTTCTTTGCCAATGAAAGGAGAAGGCACCTTTCACTGGCAAGTCTTCAAGTATGAATTTGGTGTTTCATGCTTCTCAGCTTTGTAATCCTCACTTTAAATAGAGGCATTCCAATGGACAGAGGTGAAAATTGAGATCCAGAGAAAATAAGTCACTCATGATAATGAAAGTATATTTTCACCTCCTCATTTTCTTTAAAGGTTTTCAATGATCCCATATCTATGAAAATTCCCTTGGTCCAATAAATATTTGAAATATTCAAACTTTGTGTCATCCCCATTACTGTTGTAGCACAGATTGAACATAAAATTGAATGGAAGGGGGTGGCCAGGTTCTTGGGTGAAAAATGTGTTTGTTATCCAAATGATAATTCTAGATAACAGGCTCATTGATACCTTTGGAGTGGATTCAAGAACACAGCCCTCTTCTGATCTCCCTGGCTGCTCCCTTCTAAGAAACAAACTCAAGACAGATGCCTAGGAGAACAGGCACTTTTGGTGATGCTGGTCAGATAGCAACAATCTCAAAGTTCCTGTCCCCACTTATATGAGCAGTGTTACCACCTATATTTTTACGGCACATTTAGACAATTACCTGTGAGTACCTGAGACAGCAGAACAATGAGAACCAGAAACAGCTTCATGTTTACCGATTTTCCAAGGGAAAGAAGTAGGAGGCCTTCTTCGTCCACTGGTCTTTGTCCCACAGTCTTTCAAAATGAGCTGGGGCTCTGAGTGCTTTCAGCACTTCCAGCTCGGATTTTATCTCACATGGGCAGACAGGAAGCACAATTTCACATCTACCTACATCCCCAAACAAAAATTCACAGTCACAGAATGTTCCATCCTATCATCCCTGCGCCTCTCTCCTCAGGATGTGAACTCCAGACAGCAGAAACTATGACTTCTCCACCTGGCTGTCAGCCATTTGGGTCAAGTTGGTTGATTATGTGCCCTGGTTTGGCTGGAACAGTCTTGGCTTGTTTCTTTGATTGTTTCTCAATCACAAAAGTAACTGAGATTGCAAGATAGATTATATCATCAGTCAAAGTAGACACATATCCAATAATAATGTTGAAACTTTATGAAACTTCCAGGTAATTATTTTAGAAGTATAATTGCTTTTGGTTTGGCATAGATAAATCCACATTATTTGAGAACTTCCCATAAAGCCTTGCCCATATAGCAAAGAATGATTCTACAACTGAAATCTTTTATAAGATAAAATCCCTTTAGCATAGTATTCAGCTGACTGTGAATTAGTCCCTGCCCTGTTCTTGTGGGGCTTCTTATGGAATCATTTACATTTCTATCACTTCTTGGCCATTTGGCTAAGATCAAGTGTGGAATCATTTACATTTTTGTCAAAACCGGTGTGAATGTTCCCACCTAATTCAGTATTTCCATCACCCATCTCACATTTAAATCCCGCCTCATGGATTATATTACCTACCATGAGCTCCATGTATTTGGCTCCTCATTTTCTTTCAAAGCTGTTCAATCATCTCTTATCTGTGAAAATTTCCTTGGCCCATCTGAATGGAGCTGCATACTCCCTGCATTGTGCCACCACTCTGCTCTGCATATATTTTGTGCCGGTGAAACCATGTCATGTTCGTTTGTTATTTGCAATCATCAGCAAGTCCCTGCCACCTGTTCAACATAGAATTCATACCTAACTGCACACAACTCAAGTGATATAATCAATATATAATTACTGAATAAATTATTGAAAAATATTGATTACTACCAAATACTCCACCAGCAATAGTTAGGATGTTTCCTGAAACATGCTAATTGCCTTGTTTTTGTAAGTTCTAAACACCAGAACCTTGAATTTGTAGTAAGTAGGGTTCATCTAATCCAAATATCTTTTTGTGACAGAATCTGAATGAATTTTAGAACCTGCAAGGCTGTATACATGTCTGGCAATGATGATTAAATTCTTACCACAACATAAAGTTAGAGTAGGGGGTTAGGTCAGAGATGAATATTGTATGTAGCTGACCATGTTTATCAGTAACCAGAGCCTTTGTCCTCCTCTGTTAATGGCTGTGGTACTTTGCAGTCCTTGCATGGCACACAGTACAGACTGGTCAGGCTTGCAGAGTCTCATCATATCATGCGTCGATCATATGAAGACTATGAAGTTCATGGGTGCAGGAAGTGTAGCCTCTAAAAGATCAGAAGTGTAAATACTTACGGAGGCTTTAGGGAGTAGATTAGTTTCTCATTTGCCCCTCTCCACATTATATGATTATGCCTTTTTTTTTTAGTTTTGTTTTCTCCCTTGACCAGAACAACCTACAGGCCATGTGTACTAGTCAGCTTCACGTTACAGTAATGAAATATTTGAAGCAATTAACTTACAAAGAGAAAAATGTTATTTTGGTTCATGGTTCTAGAGGCTTCAATCCAAGATAAAATAACCCTACTGCTTCAGGTCTCATGTGAGGGTAGCATAACGTGGCAAGTACACATGGCCTAATATGGGCAAGAATTGGAGAAAAGAGTACAAGAGAAATAAAAACATTAACAGGTCTTCCCCATTCATGGAAAAAGCTCTGGACTAACTTACCATGGGTAGAGGAAAAGACAAGAACAATGAAGGAGCCAGAGCTATGAAGGATGATTTTTTTAAGGTACTGACCCTGGAATTTGGCCAAAGCAATTACCAACTCCTCTAGAAGGGAACATGGATGGGGATCAAGAATTCAGAGAAAGGAGAGTTCTCTTGGAATGAATAGAACACTCTTCCAGCTCCCAAGAGTCCTCTGCCTAGCAGCACATACACCTTATGTCATTTAAAACACACACACACAAACACACAAACACACACAAATGTATGAAGTAGAAACTTTCTGGAGAGTAATGACTATGTGCTTAAGATCACAAAGCTGTTAAGTGGCAAAGCAAGTACAGTAACTCAGATCCCCAGTTCTCTAAATCCTTCCCCCTTTCCATCTCATCTCACTGTGTACCATGAGCAATTAATGTCCTGTAATCCAAGGCAAAGAGCCCAGACCTGGGAAACTTACCTAACCTCTCAAAATCTAAATATATAAAGCATAAAGTAAAAACCAAAAAGAAAAGGAGTCACAAAACAACACTAATACATTGTCCAGATACCTGCAATTTCAATCACAGACATAGGGTTAGATTCTGAAACCAGGTAGTAGGCTTAGGAAAGAAAAAGGACATAGTGGGAAAGGTGTATGAGTTAATTCTCCACATAGTACTAAAATTGTTTCATGTTGTTCTTTTTAATATTCTGTTCATATGTTTCATCCAACTTGAATGAAAGATACTTGAGAAGAAAGTAGTCTATCACCAGTCTATCACCATTTCTAGGCATAGAAAAGACCTTTAAAAATATCTGTTCAATGATTAGTTTGACTATAGACTATAGGGAAGCATGTTGTTATTCAGTGTTTTGCTCTTACTCAAGGGTTTCTTGAAGGTCATCTATCCCTGCTCCACAGTCGTTCTGGACACAGAGACCAAGCCACATTCCAGAGGCCTAGGTACCCCAGATTCACTGCAGGAAGGGAGGTTAAGTCAGGCATTAGCAGGTAAGGATGAGAAATAGACTTTCTCCTTTAACACAACCACATTCAATAGGTATCTGCACACAGCCCTATCTGAAGACAAATTCCTTTGTCATGTCTGACCTCCCTGAGAAAGATTGAGTAACACTGTGTGCCATGATCTAGAAATGGGGAAATGCTTATAGAACTCCCATCCCTGTGAGGAAGCTTTAAAAATGTAAAGATAACAAGTATATTGTGAATGTCCACAACAAGTGAGATATGACCGCGGAACAGCTTGCTACTCAAAGGTCACTGACTCATGAACCAACCTAAAAAGAGCTATCTTATGGCCACTGCTCAAATGTCCTTCAGTAATTTTTTTTTTGAGCTTGACAAAATTTATTGGTTGTTTTAGTAAAGACATTCATCTCAGTCATTTCTGTCTCCTCATCTTGACCTTACATTAGTATTTCATTTGGGTCAAGAACAGAGTATGTAGGAGAGGGATGTTATTTTAACAAACAGTAAAATGGACAAAAATGAGTAAGTTTGCCTACATAAAAGTAAGTTAAAGTTAAATTCATGTATCTTGATATAATTAAATCATGTAAGAACTAATAGTTCTATATACATTTCCATTGTTTTACTTGGGGCTTAATCTGAACTTTAACGTGAAAGAACAACTTATTAGGCATATGCACAGGTTTCTTCTCTGGAGTTACTACCTATTAAAAAAGATCAGCAAGTAACTACCACCAATGAAATAGTCTGAAGCTGCCTCCAAATTTAACATTGTAGGAATTCTGAAGGAAATCACTATTATCATTTTTCTTTTGTCCATGACTATGCTTTTAAAGATGTGTTTAACTGTCATATTAGAAAGTCCATATACAATACAAAAATACGAAACAAACAGCTTACAGTACAGATTTAAGAGTATATGTGATGAGCAATTCCATAAACTGTGTCTGAAGATGCACTTTCTTTCCTTTTATTTTCAGTACCTACAATATGCTTTTGAGAGGCCACTGGTCAGTATGCGTATACTTCAAATAAACCACAGTAACTGTTCTAGTAAGAAATTCTGTAATGACTTCAACTCAAATTATATTTAACAACTTAGTAACATAAACACATAGACGAAGTTACAGAAAATGCATCTTACTGTTTTCCCATCTTCATACAATGTTAAATTTTTTTTTTTTGGTGTTTATACCTTTTAAAAACTACAAACCAGCCAAATACTTAAGCAGTATGTACATTTAAATTTTTGGTGGTGGTCTGTATTTTAAAAGAAAGAGCCTCCTTATGATTTGCCTCAAGTTCTGGTGGAAATGGTTATAGGAACTAGCTAATAAACGAAAACCAAGAGAAGCACATTCAAAATCCTGACTTACTTTGGTAGCAAATGGCTGTTCTTTGAAGACTAATGAAGTAGACAAGACCATTACGGTGAAATGGGCTATTTCAAATACTCGATACTTCACATAAAAATTTAAAAAAAAAAAATCTTTTTTTTGTAAAAGAGCTAAGCATCTGTATCCACTGATAGCAATGCAATACCTAATGTATGATGACTTGAAACAAAACGAATGCCTGTAAGGAAAAAATGCTATTTTAATTTTATTTAAATTTACTTTCAGTCAATAGTCCAGCAATGTTTTCTTTTCAATACGATACTCCCCTTTTCTCTCTATAAGGCTGTTCCTGGGAGCCAGACAGTTTAGGTGAGGAGGGAGTTAATTTAGGAGGAACTGCTTGCAGTTTTAAATAGACAGTAACTTCTTGCTTCCCTCTTAATGTGCTAATAGTTGTGTCTAAAAAAATATGCAATTCTTAAAAAGGTACCATTTCTGATTTCTTTATTATCTGTAACCTTTGGAAACTAATCACATGAAACCACAAAATTAGCAAATGTCTTGAAATCTGTATATAAAACATAAATTACCTCTAATTTCAAACTCTCACTTATTAGTGTACCACTCAATCTTAAAAAAAAAAAAATGAAAAAGAAAAAGCAAAAGCGGCTCCAAAGATAGTCTTATACCATTCTTTAAAAAAGGAAACTGTTCCGTTTAACTTTACACCCACCCCACACCCTAACTCAAAACACATCATTTAATTGTCTTGGTCATGGACATTTCCAAG